CATCAACATCCCCATCCTTAAAGGAATCTCTTTCAGACTTTCATCTCCCTCAAATTTTCCAAGAGAACCTAAAAGTTACTTCAAGTAAATAAAACGCATTTTCATTTACTGTGTAGCATGATGGAACCATACATTATAAGTCCAAATATTTCATGTATTTCAAAATAGTTTGGGACTTGAGGTAAAGCACCAACTTTCAGGAGCAATACTTATTATTATTTTTTTGGAAAGAATTAAATTCTCAATATACACTAATGGGCAAGGTCCAAATATCACAATATGGTCCATATTACAAGTTCAATTAAAAACAGTCCAAAACCCAAATTAAACTACTCATTACATCAGTCCAACAACAAGCTTGACCCAACATGTATCTTAGAGTTAGGGCAAACCCTAAGCATCAATCTAGCCGTAGACAGTGTGCCTTCAAATCCCAACGGCCGTTCGATCAGGGTTCCCCCCCACGGGTGTGAGCCTCGTCACCAGTGGTCCCCTTCCACACCATCAAGCAAGGAGTCACTCGACCGTGGTCTCCCGGTCTCCCATGCACCTCCAGCAGTCACGACAAGCTTCAGCCAGCCCCAGCTGGTTCCCCTATGCCTCATCAGCAGCACCATGCAAGCAAACAAGTTGAATGAGTTGTAAAAAAAATCAATTTCTTTTTAGGATTTCCATTGGTAACCCGGAAATGACTTTAAAAAGCCCTACAATTTGTAAAGAAGGGGATCCGGTCTCCCATTTTTTTGAAAAGGAAATATAAAACAGAGTGATTTCAAGATAGATTGAAACCCTTTTTTCCAATAGTTTTTTATTCGAACCAAAAGGAGAGGGAGGGTTAGTCATTTCTTACCTTAGACCTTTCTTTTTTTTTTTTACCGTTGTGGGGTCTTCACGGCTTCATTCCATGTCGATGGAGGCCTCACCGTTGAGTGAAGAGGGAACTTGAGCCTTCACGGTGGTCGGGTTTTTAGGGAGTCGAAGAGTGGGTTTTAGTTTACGTTTTGGTCTTGTCTGTTAGGTATCGAACCTTGGGCTTGGGGTAGAAATTAGAGGTTTTGGTTCTTTTGGGTTATGTCTAGGTTTGTCCGACCACTGCTGATGGTGGTCGGGATGAAGAGCGACATCGCTTTTCGAACGAGAGAACGACAGTTGAGAACTTTGATCGAGGAATGGTAGGTTTAGAATGAGAAGGGGAAGTGTTTGACCGTCTATGCCATCGATCGAAGGTCGGAATCACCAATAAAACAGTGGCCGGCGTGGTGAATTTGGCATTTCGGTTGTGGAAAGAGAAAAAAGTTGTGAACTTTTATAAAAAAAAAGAGTATTTTAAGCACTCGAAATGAAGTTTTATTGAAAATATCTACACGCTGAATCATCTTATTTTTTGAAAACCAGAAGGATTTCATAAAGATTCTCATAAATTACCTAATCATAATGCATGAATGAAAGGGGTTTGTGTTTGTGCTTGAATAAAGTGTTAAAACCAAAACCTAATTAATATAAAATCACGAACCCAAAATTTATTAGGTCAACTCATAAAGAATAAATTATTATATATGTTGAAATATACATAAATTAATGTTTTGAAAATTGGATCGGACCGACCGGTTCAACCGGGAATTGTTGCGTAGTCCGGTTCAATCTACACCGGTTGAACCGCTATTAGTGAACCGATCAGAACCGTTGAACCGTTCAAACCGAACCGGGTGAAAACTGAAAAAAACCATCAATTTTGTTTTTTTTTAAAAATTAAACCAAATGACGTCATTTGTTAAACGAGCCAAGTCGAACTCGAATATTGCTGAGCTCGACTCGAACTTGAAAACTTTAAAAGTAAGCTCAACTCGACTCAAACTCACAAGCTAAAAATTATCAAGTTCAACTCGAACTCGAAATATAATATTGAAACTTGAACACGAAAAGGCTTGAACCCAAAAAAAATAGAAGCTCGATTGAAGCCTAAAATTCGAGCTTGATTGAAGTGAAAGAATAGTTCACTCAATGCTCACTAAAAGGCTCCATGATTTTGAATGTCAAATTACTTCTATTATTTATAGAAGTTAGTTGAGATGCTATTCTATGTTTCTTAGCCATATGGGATTGTTTTGTTTTCATATTTTTACTCTTTAGACTTTTGGAATGCTCTTCTATGTTTCTTAGTCATGTGAGATTGTTTTAAAAAAAATTAAACCAAACAATATCATTTTGTTATGATTTTTTTAGCCCCAAATTTATTTTTTAATTATAGTTATATAATTATATTTATTATTTAATATGTTTTACCTTAAATATTATGTTGTAGTTAATTTAAATCATTTTGTTTCACTTGATTTTATGGTTTTTAACTTATTATGACTTGCTTTGAATATGACTTGTGATATAAAAAATTATTTTTTATTAAATGTTTTTGGTATTTTTATTTAATTTTTTAAATAATTATGACGTCGTCCGGTTCTTCCGACCGGTCGGACTTGTTCGACCGGTTGAACTAGTAGCATGGTCAGTTCGCTAATCGGTCCAGTTCTGAAAACCATGACATAAATTAATTGATATGTTAAAATTTTCAAGTTTTTTTATTGTAATATTTTAAGAATATATATTTTATTTTGTCATAAAAAGTTTATGACGATATAAGAGTATTACAAATTAATCTATTTCTTGGGAATTATTGCCAGTCTTTTAAATATTTATAACTATTACGCTCATTAAATTATAAATATAACTTAGAGTATCTACATTTTAACATCTACAAAACATGTAGCGTAATTGGTGATGTAATTTGTGTCATATTTTATTTTATACCTATGTTTCCACAATGATAAATTTTAATCCAATGTAAATTGTTGAAGATGTACCTTGGTGTAACCACATTTAATTAGCTTGATTGGTTTCTGAGTTGGTTGAAGAAACTCTTCTCATAGCTGATGGTGGTTGAATATGATTTTGTGCATCACACCATTCACCAAAAACATTGTTTCAAGTTTCAAAGGAAATTCCTTCGTTGTTGTTAGAGATGGTAAAGAACCGGGTTAATTCGGATTTTTTATCAATCCGACCCGAAAAATATATACTCTTCACTTGATTTAATTTGACTTAAAGAGCACATTTTTTCTATCTGAATTTGATCCAATCCAAAATTTTTGAGTATAAATTCGATCTGGTCCAATATAAAATAAACATTTCATCTAAAAAAACTATAGAGAGATCCAAAAATTTATATGAAAAAATCACACTATTACTTTAGGTTAGGTCAGAGGTTTTTCACTCTCTACCCGAACTCAATCCGACTCATCATATATAATTTCAATTTGAATCTAATTTCTTTTAAAAAGATAGACCTATCAAATTGAGTCGAATCAAAATCCTTCGTTTTCGAGTTAAATTGTCGTCTATAATTACAATCAATGTGATAGAAGGGACTTCGCATGCCTCTTCCGAAACCAGGTTCATCACTGACCCTAAGAGGCCATCGAAGGTAATCGACAACCACTCTTCGTTTTCTAAAAAAATCTATGGTCAATTTCAGTTTTAAACCAAGGCGAGGATGAACTTTTACTTCGAATGCATTACAATGACCAACAATTCCACTATGGGTGAAATTTGTGGTTCAGATCCACTAATCATCATCTAACAGATTCCATGGAAATGTTTCTTCTATCTCATCATCAATAGCTCTATACTGGACCCAAGGAGAAGAAGCAAGCTACAAGGAATATTAGGGTTTTAGGGATTGTTGGTAAATAGGAGAATAAAAATTATTATTGGTGAGTAACTAAATTATTAGTTTTGAAATATTAATAAAAAGATTCATTTAAATATAAATAATTGTTTATGTAGTTTAATCTTAAATGATATTTAGTGTTTATATTAGGGATGGGCATGAGTCGAGTTTTTGGTCCATCCGAACCGACCCGAGAACAAGGAGTCCTCCACCCGAGACCCGACCCGATCAAAACAAGTTTTCACCCGACCCGAACCCGACCCAATATATAACTTAAAAACCCGACCCGACCTGACCCGAAATAATAAAAAAATATTTTTATTCAATAAAAACAGTGACTTAATCGAAAAAATAATATATGGATGGGTATTATTGTAATTATTCATAAATGTATAAGGTAAAACTATATTTTTTTCGGGTCGGGTCGGATCGGGTATTTTCACCCTTAATTCGAACCGAATCGACCCGAACATCACATTTAAAAAACCCCAACCCGAACCGAACCCGAACCTGAAATTTAAAAAAAAAAACCAAATTTGACATGTAGGACTTACAGCAACAAAACTAAACTAAAATACTAGAAACGAAAAACTATAGCTTACTTTTAAGAAAATCGAAGTGAACTGAACAAAATTTAAAATATAGAGTTTGAAATTGAAACTTCAGGAAAATAAAAGATGGGCTTGAGTATGTTCAAAGTTCGGTTTTAACTGAATTAATCGATTGAATCGAATTAGTTCGGTTAATTCGGTCGGTCATCGAAATAATTCAGTCGGAGAACGGTTAATGATTTTTTGGAATTCGATTAACGGTTAATTCGGTTCGAAATCAGTTAATTAACCGAATTAACCATTAAATATAAGTATATTAAGAGACTCAGTCGGACTAATCCATTTAAAACCCATTTATTTTATAGAATTTTAAATTTGTTAGTTTTTTTAACTAAATTGATAGATACAAATCTTATTTTAATATAATATTTGAATCAAATTAATTATATATTATTTATAATTAATATTATTTAAATTAATTATAAACTATTTTTTAATTAAAAAATATTAAATTAGAAAATTCTAAAAATTTTCGATTAATTCAAAAATTAACCGAATTAACTGAAATTTATTTGATTCAGTTAATACTTAAAAAAAATTCGATTCAATTAACAGTTAAAAACAATTCGATTAAGGGTATTTAGATTCGGTCTGCTAGCGTTTTAACCCGATGAACACCGGTCCTGAGTCGAAAGAATAACAGGGAAAACGAGGTTGAAAGAATTGAAGGCCAAGAAAAGGTTTAAACTCAAAATCGATGTTTAGTGGCAGAAGGTAGCAAAGAAATAATGGCGCAGGAGACGGAGGGCAAAGCAAGCGGAGAGCGATGGGCCGGAGCCTTAGCAAATCTGTCGGAGATGGCTTCAAATCTTGATTCTCTCCAAAAATTACTTCTCAAGAAATCCGTTTTCGTCGAAGAAGATACCTTCTCCAAAGCCTCTCTTACCTCCGAACAAGCCCGAACCATCAAGGTCACTTCTTTTTATATTGAATTTATGATCTAGGTTTTTATTTATTTGATCTGAACATCGTTAGTTAGGTAATAATTAATTGATCTTATCAATTTAAGCCTGATAATTCCTGATCTAATGAGTTTAGGTTCTTGAACAAAGGGTGCAAACGCTGGAAAGAGAGGTAGATGCCGCAATCACGGCAGCGGCGCGTGCACGTTCGGAGAAACGACAGGCCGAGGCCGCCCAGAAGGCTGCCGAGTTGCGTGCTCTTGAGGTTACCAAAGAGCTCGAGAACACCACAAGTAGACATAATATCCGCTACCTCATCTCTCTCTCCTTTTTCCCCCATTTTAGGGTAATGATTATATTTTGAATTGTTCATATTATAATTTCTTTGTTTGCAGAAGTGTTTGACCTTCACATGGAAGAGCTGCGAGCAAAGCAAGAAGAGATCTCTAAGCGGGATAAGGAGATTAAGCTACTTGAAGCAATTATTCAAACAGTTGGTGGTAAAGATTCTCGCTCTGGGTGAAAAAACAAACAAACAAACAAACAGAGAATGAAAACTTCAGATTATCCTTTTTTGAGTCATGTAAAATGTTAATCCAAATCTTTTGCTTTTATTGTAATGAAAATTTCCTATTTATTTTCCCAAGGAAATTTGTTTATTTTCAACTTTTTCTCTCCGTCCTGCCCCAAAAATGGTTTAGCCTCTAAATTCCCTGTTGGCTGCTATCGTCCGTCGTTCATCATTATTATTGATCACCATCGGCCACCATTACCATAAATTCCCTCGGTGCATCGAAATGGTTACTCGAAGAATTGATGTAACCATTTTGTAACCACTCGAGGATCCCCTCATCAAGCAAGTCGTGGATGATACCGAGATGTGGAAACTCATCTCCCAATACACCTCAGGTATGATGTCCGGATGTAAGCTCGACAGAATAGAGCTCCTCTTTCCATTACACCCGGACTACTTGTCTACTGTCATCACTTTGAGAGCTCTCCAACCATTGGGGCGGATTTGGCCCTAGTTGTAATGCCAAACAAAAAGCCTGTCCGGAAGAATTTGGCACCATTCAGTCAGAGTCTAGGGTATATAAACCGGTGGCTATACCAAAGCAGGTGATTGCGAGTATGCCCGTAGTGAAACCGGCTGGACTAGAAGCAACGTGGTTACCCATTATGGCATTTCTATAAGATCGAGGCACTAAACCAATGGCACTATAGCAGATAGCGCTGCCGCTGTAAACAAGTTGAGTTTGAGTATCAACTCAATTCTAAAAGTTTTAAGATAAGCTTGATTCGAAAATTAAGATTAAGTTTCAGAAAAATTGAAAGTTTAGGTACTAAAATGGGTCAACATTGATAATTTAGGAATTAAATGCAATATGTTTTTAACGACAGATACTAATATGAAATGAAAATTATACTTTAAGTATGATTTTGGAAAAATTAAAAGTTTAAGTATTAAAACAGAGTAAAATTGATAGTTGAGGTACTATTTGCGTAGTGGACCCTAAAAATATTAGCATAAACGGTACCGTTTGTGTATCTTTTATTTATTTGTCTTCTTTCCTCTTCACTCATTTTGCAGTTTTGAACCTCTCGATTTTCTTTAATTTCTTTCAGAATCAACACCGTAGCATCTACCACTTTCCCACCTTTCCTTCGCCACCCAAACCACTACCATATTTCCTGCAACTTTTCTTTCCCAGGTATGGCTGGCAATAACGATGTCCATTGATATTAGACATTAGTACTAAATTACTGATATTTATTAGGTTTAGATTTTGATTCGTTATTTGCTTCTTAACTCGGTTTTGCTTAATTGTTTTAGCTGTGCAATAACCTAGTTATTTATAGTTATTTTTTTTACTAAATGGATATTCTAATCTTCATTTACATGTCTGTTGGCTATTTTCTTATGGAAATTAATGTTCTCGAATGTTTTTGTTGTTTGGCTCACCATCTGTTTGTTGATTTGTCTGACTCAAAAAACTTTCATATGCTTGGTTTTCAGTCAGGAGAAGAGTTCGAACAAGATACCCTTTTCACTATAACAATTATCTGTCTCTAAACGATCAAATCTTTGATTCTAGGGGCCTGGTAGTTGAATTTTTTTAGGTATGCTTTTAGTTTAAGTAGTTTAGATTCAAATTTCTCAAAACTTTTTTGTTGTGCATTTGTGCTTCCTTTTCTTTTTTGGCTGTGCCTTGAAATGATGGAGAAAACTTTTTTCCCTTTCTCTGGACTATATAAAGTTATTTAATTTTCAGTTTCACTTGGTAGGTTCAATGGATGTTGATGATGACAACAGTCCATCAACTTCAATCGCAGTTCCTGATGGCAAAACCACGGCGTCTACAGCTGATAATACGCCAAGCCAGCCTGTTCAGCCTATGGCTCCGCCAGTGGTCACACCTACAGTTGTACCACCTATTGCTCCAATACCTGCAGCTGTGCCATCTATTGCACCAATACCTGCAGTTCCTCCGCCCCTGGTTGTCAACCCATTGGCATCTCTCCCAGGTCGCCCCCCTGTCCTTAAGCCACCTGTGTCTCAAAATGGTGAGGTGAAAACTGGTGATTCAGACTCTGACCATGAGGATGATGGGCGAGCTACTGGTGGGGAATATGAGATCTCAGAAGAGAGCAGACTGGTTAGAGAGCGGCAAGAAAAGGCAATGCAAGATCTTCTGATGAAACGACGTGCTGCTGCACTAGCAGTGCCCACTAATGACATGGCTGTCCGTACTCGACTTCGCCGGCTTGGTGAACCTATAACTCTTTTTGGAGAAAGAGAGATGGAAAGGAGGGAAAGGCTGCGAATGATTATGGCGAAACTGGATGCTGAGGGGCAATTGGACAAGTTAATGAAAGCTCATGAGGAGGAAGAGGCTGCAATTTCTGCTAGGGCAGAGGACATTGAAGAAGACATTGAATATCCCTTTTATACTTATGGTCCAAAAGAGCTTTTGGATGCAAGGATTGATATTGCAAAGTACTCTATTGTAAAGGCAGCTGCACGTCTTCAACGTGCCCGGAGAAAAAGGGATGATCCAGATGAAGATATCGATGCTGAAATTGATTGGGCTCTAAGGCAGGCGGGGAATTTGGTTCTTGATTGCAGTGAAATTGGAGATGATAGACCACTTTCGGGTTGTTCTTTCTCTCGTGATGGAAAACTTCTAGCCACCTGGTTTGCTTCGGACTCTTTTTCTCGTCTTCATTAAAGAATAGGGTTTAGTCTTTATTGATTTTGTTTTCCACTTTTCTTTACAAGTTTGTTCTTTCATCATTAAAAGTAGTGAACACAAGTTTAAGTTATGCAAATTTTCAGTTGTTCAGAGTGCTAAATTTGATCCTCCTAGGGTAGTTATAGAATATGGTTTTGAGACCACTAAAGATGACAAGAATGTAAAATTGTAACTAGATTGTTTCTGTCTTTTGCAATGTAAAATTGTAACTAGATTGTTTCTGTCTTTTGCAGTTCTTTGAGTGGAGTTGCTAAGTTGTGGTCAATGCCTAGGCTAAGCAAGGTTTCTGCCTTAAAGGGTCACACAGAACGTGCAACAGATGTTACATTTTCTCCTGTGTGTGATCATTTAGCAACTGCTTCTGCTGACCGAACAGCAAAGTTATGGAGCCCTGATGGATCTCTCTTGAAGACATTTGAGGGCCATTTGGATCGCCTTGCTCGTATTGCCTTCCATCCTTCAGGGAAGTACCTTGGTACGACTAGCTTTGATAAAACGTGGAGACTGTGGGACATAGATAGTGGTGTGGAGTTGCTTCTCCAAGAAGGTCACAGTAGGAGTGTCTATGGAATTGCCTTCCATCAAGATGGATCTTTAGTAGCATCATGTGGACTTGATGCACTTACTCGTGTTTGGGATCTTCGCACTGGGAAAAGTATTCTTGCCTTGGAAGGCCATGTGAAGCCGGTAAGATATCATAATTCCATGGCTCTTTCACCTTTTTTACGATCATGGTTGTCAAATGCTACATGCAGGAGTAGCATATTGTAGAGCATCTTTAGTAGCAATAGTTCACTAAAGTACCTAATTTATAGTTAGTAACTAGTAACTACTATAAGTTTCACATGCATGCCTTACAGGCTTGGGGTTGGTTATGCATGGAAAATTATACTTTTGATTGTAGCTCATATTCGTTAGTACTTTGAAAGGAAGCTTTTGGATCTTCCTTGGATTCTCAAAATTGGGGGGCTATGTTGCTACATTTATTTTGAAGTTTTAAAGGCTTGGTTAGGCAAGTTGAAAGACATTGCCTTGTTAATATCTAAGATAAATCTATAGAAGTTATAGGAGCAAGGAAATAATTTCTATTACCTGAAATATATTTGATAACTAAAGTCTGCAAATCTCTGCCACTCTTTCCAGGTTCTTGGTGCTAGTTTTTCACCCAATGGCTATCAATTAGCCACAGGCGGTGAAGATAATACTTGCCGCATATGGGATTTGAGGAAGAAAAAGTCTATGTACGTCATACCGGCCCATTCAAATCTTATATCACAAGTGAAGTTTGAGCCTCAAGAGGGATATTACTTGGTCACATCCTCTTATGATATGACTGCAAAGGTGCAGCTCCCTTTCCATAAACAATTGCCTTTATATTTAAGTATTTTTTAATATACCATCTAAGATTTGTATGTGATTTGTCAGGTTTGGTCTGGAAGAGATTTTAAGCCCGTTAAAAGCTTACCAGGTCATGAAGCGAAAGTCACCGCTTCAGATATTACTGAAGGTAACTTCCTGAATTTTAAATTAGTAATGCTTGAGTCTCTTCTTTTTCTTCCACTCTTCTTCAAAATGCTTATTTTTATAGTGCTGACTATTACCCTCCTGCCCTTCACTAGAACTTCTGAAACACAATCAGTGAGTACTGGTTTCAAGTATTTTGGCACCCTATCATGTATTATGTTATTACGGATTGGTTGCGGATCGGAACAACTAAGACCGTGTATTAGCAGCACAGCAGTTGAAGTTATTTTTACTCCATTATTTCGTTTACAATTTTGTCATCTCTTTTCTGCCGTTATCTGACCATATCAGGACTCAAATTTAATAAATGTGAGGGGAGGGAAAGCGGGTGGTTAATGAGCCTTCTCTTATTTGTTTCTATTGGTGATATCAAGCTGAAGCAATAAAAGCCCCCGACTCTACATACAGTCTATTCCATTCCCTAGGTATGGAAACAGAACTTTATGCTAGAAGAGCCGAACTTATAAAATTTTGGAGGGGGCAAAAGCAAATTATCAATAGAAAATACAAAGAAAATATCTAAATTATATGAGAATTTGAAATTTTCAGAGGGTGGCTGCCCCACCAGCCCCCTAACCTGGTTTCAAGGGTGGAAAAGGGGTAGGGTTATCAACTTTTTTAGTTTTACCTTTAGCCTTTAATGATTTCTTCTTAGCTTTGTTTGATGGTAAATAGAGTGTTCATTTTCTTTTTGCATCACCGTTAGCAATTATCATCTTTACTTCCCTCTATTGATTGTCAAAAATCCAGCAATGGTTTTATTTTTTTGATGGAGCTAAAGGCTGTTCAGAAGGGTTTATATTTTTTTGATTCCTTGCGAGGATGTGTGTTAAGGGTCAGTTGATTATCGAATCTGATTGTAAAATGG